GAATAAATCACACAACAATTCATCAACGCACAACACCACTTTAGAATTTCCAATTATTTTTTTTATTGCCAACCGCTGTATATTGTTCTCTCCAAAATAAAAATCCAACAGCTTAGTATCTAGAATAAGAGTAATCATTCATCCTTCCATTAAATTAAATGTTAATGCATTTTAATAAATGAAATCCTTTTACAGAAAATTACAAAAAAAACAACAATATATCCTAAGATGATTCAACTCCTGAAAACAAATTGAACAAGGTCTAATGCAGGATTAGTCCACTTTATATAGGGTGGCAAGGGAAATCAAGATCAAGCATGTGTCAGCAAAACATCTGAAGGTAAGTGAAACTAGTCTCCATAGGTGATCAAAGTCATCATGGGAGACAGTTTTAGACAATATAGCATGCACAGGACAAACCATTTTAAATAAACTATTTCTGATAGAAGTTTACATCAAGCAAGTGCAAGTTGGGGGAGGGGGGGTTGTCTTCAGACATTTCATTTAAGTACTGTTCCAACAGCCACTGAAAGGTGCTCATGAAAGAAGACAGTTTCAAAACCTGTAATGTCTATACCAGACATCATTAAATAAATCTTTATACATTGGCTCAAATTCTATTTCTCACTGCTCAAAGGGGCATTCCCACTATGTACGATGTGTAGAAAACATTACACCCCCACCCAATAAACTTCAACAGGGCGTTGAATTTTGTACAGTTCATGAGAAATCTTATTCAACAGAAAACTGATATCAAATTCAGTAATTATCTAAAATATGGGAGTGGCGTTGAGCAAATACAACAATGAAACTCGTTTTAGTTGATTACACACTGCAACTTTCAGTGCTCCAACATTTCTGGATGTGTTGCCATACCATCAGATTTAATAAATGCGTCATGGTGATCATAAGCAGAGGTGCTCTACGTACAATACAAAGTGGGAATGATAGTAACTGCAATTTTGAGTACAACTGCCGATGTTGCGCTTGCCGGGAAATCCACAAAAATATATAATAACACTAGTAAGCAAAACAAAGATGCCAGAATACATTGTACACGTTGTCCTTACTATAGCTTTAACCTTTGAATTGGGTAGTTCAGCCACTTGTGACAAACATTCAGCTGAAGAAATATACTGATGACAAGTACTACATATAAAGGTGGTCATTGTGGAACACTAATTTCATTGTATTTACCAGCAGTTTCAAAGTGGGTACACAAATAACATTTCAAGATATACTTTTGTAATGTACATTCACTCTCGAGGATGATTTGTTTTTTGGCTTTAATCTAATTTCATGAAGCAATTCAGCTATTTTTCAGTTTAAATATTTTTACCTTCAAAGATCACTAGGAATTAATCACAAACATCTTATGAGTGAACTTAATTTCGTGTGAAGTATAATTTATAACAAAGAGATAGGTAAATATTTATACTGTCATACATGTGTCTGATACAGATTTGGTTCACATAATCGATGTTCAAAAGCTCTAGGTTCATATGCTTGCGAATATACAGAAAAAACATACAGCAAGTATGAATAATATATTTCAGAGCACAGGTCAGTACCATTTTTACCAAATATGGTCATAAAATGATTTTAGCGATTACATGTTTATAAAATTACATGTAGTGTTTTCTAATTTTAAACATTGAATGCATTCTTGCAATAACCCCACAAAAATGCTGAAATATTTAACAATCTCTAAATAAAACTGACTATTGAAAGAAAATGAAAGGTAGAGTAAATAATTGACACTAAAATGAACAATGGAAAATAGAATCACAAAATAAGGATGAAGTTCATTTTTAAATTTGTTGTATAGTTTGGTTTTATACATTACATTCATTATCCGAGGGTTCAGTTATAAGCTTGAGTTGTGACTGCTAACTTAGTTTCTGCAAAATCGTGGACTGAGGGGAAAACACTGGGTTTTAATTTAATTATTAATCTGTGTACAGTACTATATGCACTAATAGTAAATGGTCAATTCTGGAATCCAAAATTAGAACAAAAACATATCAGGCATTGTTAAACTGAAGGTTTTCCTTCAGTTTTTTAACTATAGAATATATGTAATCCGTTTAATTGTCTCTGCAAGGAATTTCAAAATTACACAAAAGTCGCAAGTTTAAGGTCCCAGTGAAAGTTTTACTGCCACAATAATTTCACTTTAACTGACTTTTTGTTTAGTTTTATACACAACCACATTTTAAAAAATTTCAGAAATGACAACCTTTTTTTGGAAACTCAGAACATTACGGTGGGAGGCAAAACTAAAACAAAAGTGGGGAATAGCAGGGAAGTCAGAAAAACAAGCAAGCTGCAGCCGCTGATGGTACTGTACCAGAATAAAACCAATATCATATTAGCTGCAGTAGTGAAAATAATATGAAAATATTACAATATCGCAAAATGTGCCCGAAAGCTGTAAGATGATCGTACTGACTGACAGCAAGGTTGAAGCAACCAGGTACTGCGCAAGTGCATATTTTGCAATATTTTACATCTTTTCCCCTGCTAGTAGTAATAAGTTAATGAAATGCCAAAAAAATGTTATGCACTGCAAACAGTGACAGGACTATTTCGTTGCGCTATAGCACTTGTGTCCAATTTAACCCTTATCCGGTCAAGTCAATGTAAAAAAAAAGGGGGGGGGGTGGCTGGCAGGGATAAGGGTTAAACAAATGACAATGTCTGAATGCAATGTTGATAACTTTAAATGTTGGTGATGTAATTTACCCGATACAAGTTCAAACAAGGGCTCATACAACTTTACAGGATTCTATTTCTATTGTTTTTGGTGCTCAGCATATAATAATTTACTTTAACACTGCTATGCGTGTGAAATGGATGTTTAGCTGAAAAACTATAGTACTGCATATTTACATGTATCTGAAAAGGTAAACAATGGCAACCCATAGTGGCTCCTTAACTGTTAAATATTTACGAATCCAAGTTTTAACGATGCAATACGTTTAAAAACATTTTTTTTTTAAATATTGTTGTTCGACATTCCATACTGTGGACCAAGTAAGATTAAGATTCATCTAAACTAGATATGTTGTGTTTACAGAATAGATGATAAATTAACAATGCATATGCAGTGATTGTTACGTATATAAATAACAGGCGCATATGCGTAGTCAAAGATGTCATTGATAAATTGAATGAATACTCATGTGTGCTACAGGAGCGTGATTAAGTATTCATCAACAAAAAACTCTGATATTATAAAATGCATGTTTTTGTCCACATTGCATCATTAATATCAGCAATTACATCTGAAAAGACCTTTTAATATAGCACCTTTTTTTTTTAATTTGTCCCAAATACAAGAAACATCGTTAGCAATGATGAAACAAAAAAGCATCCTGCCTAAATTTATACACATAGCACAACTATAAATTGCTTTTTAATATCAAAAAAATTAGTTAAGCTACTGTAACTTCGAAAATGAAAAAAAAAATGGATAATGCTTTTTTTTTAATGATCTCAATTTAATATTTTTTTTGTTATTTTTATTTTGCATACAACGTTTTCTCAGTTATTTTAAAGAGCAGTTGGCATTTTTAGTAGCAAAATTTATAAATCTTGAATAAATTTCTGTTCCAGTGCAGATACGCTCCCTATAAAGCAATTAAACTGAACACCACATTATTTATTATTACACAAGTATCCTAATATGCACACAAAATGTCCCAAATATAGGGCTGATATCATGCTATTACTAAAAGTATGGAATATACAATGTTTGGTTTCTTGTTATAATACAGTTCCTCTGAAATGCAAAGACTTGCGAATTTCCAACTTCATATAAAAGGTGGCATTCAAGAACTAATAATGTTGCTATATTTTATGTTTTGTTATAAAAAAACAAGATTGTGAGTGACTTATTAAATGAGGTTGACTGCCAGAATGCCATCTGCTATACGAACAAGATTAAAGTAAACGGTCCACCATGCAGCATTAGCTGAGATTTCAAGTTAACAAACTGCATTTTAACTGTATTTGTTGACGTGGCACACTCAAACATACCAGGGTGAGTCTACTGTACTGCGATGACAAGACGTTATGCAATAGTTATGCAGAGTAACCATGACAACACTGCCCTGTGGATTATATTGCTCTATGAATCAAGATGAAGTAAAGTCGTGACAGTTAACAGAAGAGGGTCATTAAAAGAATGTTACCACACTAATTCCAATCTGTACTATATCTTGATTTCTAGCAATTGGAAAACTATACAATTTCATGATTTACTCATTTCCAAGTGAAAATTACTATAAAGGTTTGAACTCTATTGATTGAAGAAAAAATAAACAAAAGTCTCATGCACTTTGAATCCAAGGCAAGGCAGGTCGCACCATGATCGATTTTGTCCTTTTGTCTGGCAAAACTGTCGGTGTGAAAACTCTCGCATTAAAGAGGAACCAGTACTTATGTGCACATCAATTAATTGATCCGGTGTTCCAATCAACTATAGTTCATTTATCTCCATCTTGTGATGAAAAGACGGAATTTTCTGGAAGAAAAAGTAGAAAGATTAAATCAGTGCAAGATATTTGTAGGTATCGTAGTCGTTTATTCACCATTCATTGGTTTAAAGAGGTGATTGTCTAGGGTGTCGTGTTTGACCTAGGATCCAATAAGATACAATATTCCACCAACCACCATCACTTCAAGAATTCACACCGCCTTGAAGAAAGAATCTTTTTTATAATTATATTGCATTACACAGTACATAGAGTCTTGCCCTGCATGGAGATCAATGTGGGTCCCATGTGACATATACAAAACTTATAAAATATGTAGTTTATTTAAGGTAGCGGGACTATTATTTGCATACTTGTTTTCATCTTCTAATTGGGACCAAACGACTACAAATAGACCCAGGAAAGTATATATTTTTGGAATCCCAACTCAAACTACAACACATTGGTAAATAATCCATGAAATAGTTTGTTTGGACACATTCAAATTCCTCTCATTGTCACCTTAAAGCTGTGAAAATTTGGTGTTAATCCGACGACAATTAGTATACGTTATTTTTTGTTAAAGACCTTGTATTTTGAAAAACAAACTCCTAGAAAAGGTTGATGAAGTCACAGCAAAGATTTTCAAGCTTGTTTATCTGCACAAGCGATTTGTTTTCCCATCAAGGTCTGTTTTAACATGTGTAGGGGCATCCAAATGTGTAAGGCTATTGGAAACCAAAGAAAATAAAAGAATGGGATAGCTATAATTTGATAAAATGGCAGATGAAAACTGTGTGACCTTGTGTCTGACACGTTCATATGCAAATGACTAATCTGTGAAATAAACAGGGGCAGAGACAAAACACTCAAATGTTTGGAAACACCGATTGTGTGTCAGATAGCTACTGATAATACATCCTAACATTGCTTTGTCTTGAGTTAATCTTTAAAACTTATAGGCACGCAAATTAAACCTGTGTTGATTTTTGAAAACACTACTGAAGCTGCCTTGCTTCCCTTCAGAAAATCTACATTTTAACCAACTCACATGACATTCTAGGTTACGTTGACTTTGTCAGATGAAAGTTTATAGTGCATTTCATCAATTAATAAATAAATGTGAAAATCAGAATTTTCAACACAAATAATAGTCTCGCTACCTTAAATGATTAAATTAGAATGCACACAGCAGGGACAACTACTGTAGTTTAATTGTATTATCGATTTTATAAAGAGACGAAATACAAAATGCAAGAGAAGACATAGAAAAGCTCCATAAAAACTGAACATATCAAGTTGTTATTAGCCAGCAAGTGGACTGCAGTATGACAGTTATTTCCATTTAATACAGGTACAAATACAACTTGTAGGTGAAAATCCTGCAGTCATTTCAATCAGTAGTTGACTTACTTTTGCTATGTAATTGATTCATGGCTAAGGCCTGAAAACCAATAGTTTTTGCAATTGTTGCTAGTCGGACAATATATATTGATTGAAATGTTTTAAGAAGAGTTCCCTCTTGCCAGAAGCAATTTTCTTGGCATTATACATGTGCCATTCTTGGTAACATAAAAATGCCAGGAACATTTACTGCTGAGCTCCCACAACACCACTTTATCAAAGCTGTAAAACTCCTTCCAAAATAAGAACTGCATCCCAATGAATTAAAACAACCGAAAAACAATGGTGAAATAAAGTAATCAATTAAATTCTTACATTTTAACTACACTACAGTTGCCAAGGGAATATATTAGGTACAACTACATGGCTTCAAATTCATCAATTCTCTGTTTAGTGTTACCCAAACGGATCTGTTTCAATGTCTTGTATTTATCACGTCCTGCTTTGACGTTCTCCTGATGAAGTCTGTCCATATGAGTTGACTTGTCATCCTCTTTAACCTGACTCAGTTCACTGCTAAGTTCCTGTAAACAATCAAAAATTATTAATTGTGCACAATAACTTTCCACTGATTATTTTGATCATCGCGAAAAGTGATAAATTCAGTTGGTTTTGCAACAAATCCTGAAATATTGGAACCCTGAAACTTGCGTGAACCAGACAGAAACAAGGCTGTAGTGCCTGATCACCAAATCGAAAATAATTTTCAGTATTGAGCATTCCCATAGTTGAAATATACCAGTATGCATGGTTGTTTTGACCATCATTTTCACAGTTGAAAGTTTTTTTTTGACAACCAACAGATTTATGGGCCATTTTTTTGTTAGTAAAAAGGACACAAAGCACCCTCAGATGATTGCACATAAGGTACCGTACTTATCCGGGTAAGAGCCCATGCCTGGACAAACGCCCACCCCCCACTTTTGACACAAAGAAGTTGAAGTCATATCCGGGCACACGCCCAAGGGGTCTTTTTCTGCAAAAAACAAAAAAACTATTTTCTATTTGTTGACTGTGGTTGTATTAACAGTTGACTTTCTTGAAGTCTGTCGTGATACTTATAAAAAATTGTAATTGCGTAAAACGGGGGGTGAACGCAAAATAGCTGCGACAGCTTTCTGCCTTCAGGGCAGCGCGTTCACCGCTGATTTTTTTCAGAATCATAACAGTCAGCAAGTCTATAAAAATAAATATTGAAGCAGAAACGGTAGTTCTCTTCTTGAAATATGTCGTGGCCCTAAAAAGGGCCGGCCGTTTGGTTTGTGCTTCCTTAGAGACGATTCAAGCAAATCGTATAAGGAGAGCCGCTAAGCAAGTGTCGCACTCGTTCGGCTTTAGTGTCGTCGACAATGAAAACAATGTTGCAATATTGTAGCAACCCGTACCTGGGAGAGTGGTTGAAATCACGTTATTTTGGCTTTATAAATATTTTGTAGCAGCTTGCGAATCCATAACTGGGGCCAGCAATTTTGCAATGTCACGCCGAAGACTTCCAACTTTTTTACCATCTTTTATTACCGCAATTGCATTTTTGACATGAAAACTATTCTTCTGTCGTTGGATAAAAAAAAAACTTCCTATTTCAAGTCCACCGCAATATCCATATAGTGAGACATTCCAACCGCCGGAGCTTGCTGAATGATAACTTTCACCGTGATTAATAAGCGTCGAGTCTGATAAGAAAGCAATGTCACGATTTGACCTTTATGATGAAATACTAGTAGTGATGTAATTCTTAGCCAATCAGTAAAGCAGATGCATAAAGGTCAAAGATGATTGCTCGACTGTAAACAAAAACATCGTGTGCCATCGCAGCAGAGCGACCCCATTTTTCTTGTCTCTTTATTATGATTAGATATGAATGAAAAGTGCCAAGCTGACAGACTGCGAAATCCGTGGATTAAAAGTGCTAAGTCTAAATTGTGTGAGACCGTGACGATATCGACGAACTTCAGGAATAAGTAGGGATTTTGTTCGACGGCTACAGTGACGCCGACTTGGACATTTGAGGGTTTTGAGTTTGACGAAGATGGCAATGAATGTACAAACAAAGATCTGAGAAGTTTTTTCAAACAGCTATGTATTTTTATAATTTTTACTGTGTAAATTTGTAAAATTATTATTGATCTTGTATGACGGTTGATTCGTAATTTGTCGAGACCGGAAATCATTTTACGCAGTTTAACCCCTGACATTTTGATTCATTTTAAGTTCACGCGTATTGGGCGTGTTTGTCGGCGGCGGGAAAATCCTAATTCAAATGATTCCAATTATTATTGCTGGTTTATTTGTCACATTATAAGCAATACATTAATTTTGTTTTACTTCTAGTGTTGCATATTGTTCATTTATTTCCGTTGCATGTTTTCATTTGCCGTTCTATTCCCTGCCGCAGTTCGATCTGCGTGATGTAAATTTTCGCAAATTTTCGTTTTTGTTTCGTTTTTTTGCCGGGGATCTCCTGGCAAACGCCCACCCCTTCTTTTTGGCAATTTTCCATGTTCAAGACCCTGGGCTTATACCCGGATAAATAGGGTAACTGACAACCATTTGGCTCAATGAATGTCTTGAATTATCTAGTGATATTTAGCAAACCCATTCCTGCTTTTGTGCCTACCTTCAGTTGAGCCTTCATGCGATCATCTTTCTCTGCCTGTGTAACGCGCTCTCTCTCTTCCTCTAGCTGGGCAATATCATTTTCAGTGACCAAATCATCTCCGGCATATTCTAATTGTTCTTCTGATTCTTCTTCTTCATGCTGAGCACTGACATGTAAGACAGTTGGTGTGGCCAGGGCTTCTTGGTACGCAAGTCTCTGCTTCTCAGACTCCTCTGTAGCACGTTCCAACTGTCAAAGTAAACAAGTCATTGTTAATGACATACATGTAGTCCTTTTTGCAATTGGGGGAAATGTTATTCAAGATTAAGGCAGTATGGCCAAAATTCAAGATAGCTGCACGTCATCTTTTAACCAATCACAAATTGAATTATTATGGACATGCATAATATACAAATAAAATTAGATATGCAAATCACTGGTCATGTGACCAGGTAAATTGTTTCTGAATGAATTTGTAGTGTGTGGCATCACCTCTCGTTGCAATTCTTCGGCTTCTCTGGCCTTTTGGGCGGCTTGCTCTTCTAATATGCGCATTTGTTCTTCACGTTCTCGCCGATCGGCTTCCTAAATAAAGCAATGACTTATTATCAATACAATGGGATATAATATACTTTTATGGTTTGAATATTTAACAATAACTCATCAACCAAACTGCAGCAATATCGGAAGCGCATCTCCAATAGGAGCGCAAGTAAACTTGTAATTGTATTATATGCATCTGGAATTATTCAAATATTAATTCTTTTAGATAATGATACAATACTATCATTCACGGAAGCGCATGTGCAAGTAATAAAGTAAAAACAGTAATTTACATTTATCGTCACAACTGTTAATTGGGAGTATCAAAATGGCACCAATAGGAACAAGAAGTCTATAGGGTGTTCTATGGAGTTTTCAGACACTTACTTTTACAAGAATCAATGTGAAATCCATGGGTCAAATCAACTTTTGTTTATATACAAAGATTTGAATGCACAGACACTGGCTTTATAAAAAATACAATTTGCAAGTATGATATAAAGCCGCTACTTACAATAGCAAATTTTTCTTGCTGTTCTTGTTTGGCCAATGCCTCGGCTCGTGCCTTCTCGAGTTCAGCTTCCTGTCGTTTTTTTTCCAGTTCCAGCGACTCATTCTCAGCCTTCCTCCTCTTTTCTTCCAATTCTCTCTGCTTAAGCTGAGCACTTTCCAGTTCTATTGTGATGTGAAATGAAAATAAGTTCATGAATAGGGATGACAATTTTCACCCAAGTCATGAAAAACAACTTTCAACGCAAAGGTCACTAAAATTATTCCTAACCAATTCACAATGAGACTCGGCATCTATCAACGGACTGCTACAGACAGGGATAAAATGCTTCTATGATGTTCAGCAAATAACTCATTCCAATGCCACCACAACAACGTCAAGCACATACCATCATTGAATTGCTTACCTTCTTGTGCTTTCTTGGAGGTTTCTTCAAAATTTTTAAGTTTGTCTTGTAAATCTTTAGCTTGCCTCTCAGCTTCCTCTCTCGCTGCCCTCTCTCGCTGTAGTTGTGCCCTGTGTATAACAAAAAAACACATCACAATCAACTGCTTTGAAGATGCTATCTATCTTTGCAATTATGAAAAACATCACTCACAGAAATGGGTAAAACGTTCAATATTTGACAGTGATACATTCGCCAGGGAATGAACAGATTTGCTAAGTGGGAATAACGTATCCCAATACACACATAATACACCCAGAGGCTTCACAAATAAGCAAGAGCACAATAAACCAATACAATACAAACAAGCCATGCATGGCACAGTCCCAATTAGTTATCAAATTTAACAAATATAGTTTTGTTTATAGCAATATAGCTGGAATATAACCATGTCAGGAATATGATTTTTTAACATTAAAATGATTGACATTTGTATCTGATCATCAAACAAGTACTTGTCTGTATTGAGAGATATTGCTCTGGAACAGAATTCAAAATCAGCCATTTTAAATACATGTATGTATGTGTATATATATATATATATATATATATATATATATATATATATATATATATACAGTGGCCCCTCGCTAAGTCGCGGGTGTTGGGATCCAAGCAAAAACCGCGACTTATCGAGGGCCGCGACTTACCGAGGGACGTCGTGAAAGAGGGAGGTCGTGCATTGAAAAACATATAAAAAGCACATATAAACCCTCGGTTTAGTTAATTGATGTATCATCACATGTGTCAGGCAGTATTCGAATAAAATCATGATTATGTTTGCTGTAAACATTGCGTTGATTATTTTGTTTGGGTCTGATATTATGTGGGCCGCTTGCTGTTGCTTGCGACTTCGACGGCAACAGCTTCCAAAATAAACCAGTTTCATCGCAATTATAAACATGTTCGTCAAAATAACCACCTTCATAGATAATTTCTCTCAGTTTTTCGGGAAAAAGTTCCGACAGCG